TAGCCTTTCTTTTGGGACAGGTCTAGTAGCAATAAATTCCCTCTGCTTTTGTTTGGCAGTCTTTTATCTCTCCATTTCTGAAGGATAACTTTGCTGGTACAGTATTTTTGGTTATTACAGTATTTTAATTGTTTTCCTCAGTACTCTAAATATATTTCCTCAGGACTCTTAATATCTTCTGGCCTATAAAGTTTCTGCTAAGAAGTCTGCTGCCAAGTAAGCATATGGATGTCCCTTATATCATTTGCTTCGCTTCTCTTGTTGCTTTTAGCATCTTATCTTTGACTTTTGTCTTTGAGAGTTTGATTATAATATGTTTTTGGGGTATTATTTGGGTTGAATCTGATTGGTGACGTTTTACCTTGCTTTACCCAGATATTTATATATTCAGGTTTAGAGAGTTTTCTGTTATTACTTCTTTGAATAAGCTTTCTGTTCCTTTTTCTTAGTTCCCACTTTAACTACAATAATCTGAATGTTTGTTCTTTTTATGTTGTTCTGTAGATCCTGGAAGCTGTTTATTACTTTCATTCTTTTTCCTTTTTTCTCCTCTTACTGTGTATCTTCAAATATTTCCTCTTTAAGCTCATTGATCATTTCATCTGTTTCCTGAATTTTTCTGTTGATGTTTTTGCAGTGCATTTTTTGTTTCATTCATTGTATTTTTCAGCTCTAGGATTTGTTTGATTTTTAAAAAATTATTTCAATCTCTCTGTTCAGTTTCTCTGATAAATTTCTAAGTGGTTCTCTATGTTTTCTTGAAGTTTATTACACTTCCTTGAAACAGCTATTTTCAGTTCTTTTTCTGAAAGATTACACATCTGCATCATTTTAGGTTGGTCTCCAGTGCCTTATTTTATCCTTTTGATGATGCCATATTTTCCTGAATGTTTCGGATACTTGAGGAAATGTGACAGTGTGTGTGCATTGAGAGCCTCTGTATTTATCTTAGTCTGTGCAGTCTGCTTTTGTTTGTGCCTGTCCTTCTTCAGAGGATGTTCCAGGGATTCTAAGCACAATGACTGTTGTCTTCCCTGAGCCTGTGACCACTTGAGCTGCCTCAGCATTAGAAAGTACTCAAAGCCGAGGCTTGCTATGAGTCTTGTGAGGGCTCCAAGGTTGACGTGGCTTTTTGGTCCCAATGGATCTGTGGAAGATTCAAGGTAGGTACTGGGGCTGTGTAGGAATGCTGACCAGGTACTTGAGTCCAGAAGACTGTCTCAGTGCCCCAGACAAGCATGCCTCCCAACAGGTCTCTACAGAGGCAGGATGGGTTCTTGACTGTAGCAAAAGGAGCTAGAGTTGAGACTGGACACCTTTTGGGTCTGCTGTGGGAGGCTGATGAGCCGCTCTCTTTGTCTTGGATGAGCATGTGTCACTTGGCAGGTCACTGCATCATTGGGGTAGTTCCTCAACTTCCACAGGAGGGGCTGAAGCTGAGACTGAGCTGCCTCAGGCATTGGCTCAGGTGGGTGTGCATCTCTCAGCAGGTCCCTATACAGATAGGTTAGTTCCCCAACTATGATGGGAGAGGCTGGAGCTCAGACTGGGCCCCCTTGGGATCTGCTGTGGCCTGGAGGCTAGAGAGCTAGATCTTGTTGGCTCAAGAGGGGCACTTCTCTCCCTGGAGGATTCTGCACAGACAGGATTGTTTCTCAACTACAGCAAGAGGGGCTGCAGCTGAGGCTGGGCCCCCTCGGGATCTGCTGTGACAGGAGGTTGGTAAGCGCACTGGGGAGACCTGTACTCTTGGGCTGCCAGATATGGTTGAATCTCCCTTTGTGTGAACAGCTCTGAGCTGAGACCTCCAAGCTGAAGGCTGGAGCAGAGCCACAGGGCCACTTTCAGGTTCACTGTCAAGACCAGTATCAGCAGGCAGACAAGCCTTTCTGCTAAGTCACTAGCATGTGCAGTTCCTTCTGGATCTCTTGGCAGCTGGTTTTGGTTGTAGACTGAAGGCCAAATGGGGCTGTAGCCAAGCCCCTTGAAGGACTGGGATCTTTTCAGGCTTGAACTTAGAAGCAAGCTCAGTGGATCATCCACCTAGGTGTGAATGCATTCAAAACGACCTTTCCAGGTCTTTGGCTCCATCAGGGTTTGACAGCCTCCCACCTGAATTCTGAGGCTCCTGCAGTGAAACTTTTTACTGCAGGATTCCTGTTGCTATGAGGGTGTTTGAGCAGGTTACCTTCTATTCTGCCATCTTGGTGACATCCTGAACATTCCATTCTTGTATGTTTTTCTCTTGTACATGTACAAAACAGGAATTGTTAGATTATAGGATGTTGAATCATACTTAGTTTTATTTGATAATTCTAAACTGTTTTTCAGAATGACTGTATCCATCTATACTGTTAACCAGCAATTTATTGTTAAGGTTCCAAATATTTCATATTGTCAGTTTCATTTTGTTTTGTTTTTAAAAATTATTTTGGTGGGTGTGTTATGAATTGCTATCTAATTATGAGATGAATTTAAATTTTCCATGATAACTGATGAAGTTAATCACTTATGATATGTCTATTGGCCATTTTTATATTCTATTTTGTATATTCATTTTTGTAATGTGTCTATTGAAGCCTCTTGCTTGTTTTTTCTACTGGATTGTTGGTTTTTTTCCTACTATTTTTTAGGAGTTTTTTTTAAATGCATTCCAGATTATAAACCTTTTAGTCTTTACTTTCTTAATGGTATCTTTTGATGAACAAATTTTTCTTATATTTATTAAAGTTGGCCAGGCATGGTAGCACCCACCTGTAGTCCCAGCTACTTGGGAGGCCGAGACAGGAGAATCACTTGAACCTGGGAAGCAGAGGTTGCAGTGAGCTGAGATCACACCACTGCACTCCAGGCTGGTGACAGAGTGAGACTTTGTCTAAAAAAAAAAAAAAAGTTTAATACAGTATATTTTATTCCTCTTTTACTTTATGATTACTTTTTCTTTTAAGAAACATTTTCCCTACTCCAAAGTAGAAACATTTTTCTATGTGAATTGCTGAAAGTTTTGATTTTGCCTTTTATATTTGGGTCTGCATTCTGTCTAGGATTAATTTTTTTTCTTTCCTTTTTTTGTATGTATACGGTATGAGGAATATATTTTCTAATCTATTATTAGATAAGAAATTGTGCAAGCATCATATACTGACAATAGCATTTTTTTCCTTACTGTTCTTCTGTGCCTAATTTGTCATAAATCAAGTGTTTATATAATTTTTTAAATCTGCTTCAGGATTCTCTGTTCTGTTGCATTCGTTTGTTTGCAAATTACATTGTGATTTCCAAGTTAACTTTGCATTTTTGGAATAAATTCAACTTGATCATGGTATGCTATCTTTTTGGTATGTTGCTGAATTCTTTTTGCACTATTTTTAATAATTCTGCATTTGTGTTCATATATGAAACTGGCCTGTTATTTTTCTTTTGAAATTTGATATCAGGGTTATGCTTGCCACATAACTCATACAGAGTATTTGTTACATTGGCATTATTTTTTCCTTAGGAGAATTCACTGGTAAAGCCATCTGACCCTGGAGTTTTCTTTGTGTGAGGTTATTAGTTACAGATTTAACTCTTTATAGATTGTAAAACTATTCAAGTTGTCTGTTCTTCCTTTGTCAGTTTTGGAAAGTTGTATTTTTCTATGAATCTGTCTATTTTATCTAGTTTTTGAATTAATGGCATAAAGTTATTAATATATTATCTCTTTATTGCCTAAAGAATTTGTGCTGTTGACCTTTTCATCTGAATACTCTTTATTTGTGACTTCTCTTTTTTCTCTTAATCAGTTTCACTTTGATTAAAAATATTTTTGTTTTGTTGTGCTTACTTCTTACCATTTTCTTTCAGTCTGAGGACTCATTGTATGTAGTGAGTAATTCTTTTCTATTTTTCTTTAATTATTTCCCTCCCTCCTTTATTTTCTAATTCTGGAAATCCTACTAGCTATGTGTCAGAACTTTTAGATCAAGCTTTTGTGATATACTTTTTATCATTCATCTCATCTTTATCTCTTTATGCATTATTCCAGTGGAATCCTCTGGTTATGCTTCTATTTTACTTATTTGATCTTTGCTTTTTTGTAGTTGTTGTTTATTAATTTCAGTCATCACACTCTTCTTTCGTGATGCTTTGCCACATACAGAAAAACTTCTTAAAAAAGTTTTTGTATTTGTGTTTTTTATTTATTTATTTATTTATTTATTATACGTCAAGTTCTGGGGTGTGCAGATTGTGCAGGATTTTTACGTAGGTATACAAATGCCATGGCAGTTTGCTGCATCCATCCCCCTGTCACCTACATTAGGTATTTCTCCTAATGTTATCCTTTCCCAATCCCCCCACCCCCTGCAATCCCTCTCTTAGTTCTCCCACCCCCCAACAGGCCCCAGTGTGTGATGTTCCCCTCCCTGTGTCCTTGTGTTCTCATTGTTCAGCACCCACTTATGAGTCAGAACATGTGGTACTTTGTCAGAAAAGCTTTTTATACAGGTAATAAAGCATTAGTGCCTATCTACCTCTATGTATTTTTTTTTTTTTTAAGATGTCTACTTCTGGCCCATGGAAGATATTCCTTTTTGTTTTAAAGTGCAGCATTATATTAGTATTTTTTATGTTATTTCTACATAATGTAATTTAGGTCGGTGGTTAATACTGTGAACTCTGGAGGCAGAGAACCAATGCTCAATGCCAAGCTCTGCCTCTTTGATATGTTATTCAAACCCCGTTTCCCATATTCCTTACTTACGATAATACTGATAAAAAATAATACGTATGTCATGGATTTTGTGAGGATGAAACAAGGCAATAGAAGTCAAAATGCCTGTCACATAACAAGTAATCTTGATAGTTGAGTAATAGTGGTAGTAGTACATTAGTTATCATTATGTGATCAGAGTAGATGGCAGAGATTTTGCCGTGTGTTTATATTTGGCCATACTAAGTTGAAAATTGAGTCCAATGGACTTAGATAACTTATGACTTTTTTCTCCCCTTTTCTACAGCTTGATCCTGAGTTCGAAAAAAGACTGAGAGCGAATAAAATAACTTTAGAATCAGAATATGAGGTATGGTATGTTAATATAGTCTCTGTCTTATAATCAGTTGCTGGTTTTATCTGCCTTAAAATAAAAGTAGTAGTACAGAAAAAAATTATCTTGAATATATGGTATTTGATAAACTATATAACCATTTGAAAAGAAAATAGATGGATCCATACTTAATATACTAAAAATAAATAAATTCCAGATGGATCAAGAATTTAAAAGTAAAAAAACAAAATGTCTAAAGTACTAGGAGAAAATAAATGGAGAATTTTATTTGTTGTCTTAAGTCAAAAAAGCCTATTTAAATGTGACATAAAACCCAAAAGCTCTAAAGTAAAGATTATCGGGTTCATACATACAAATTCAAAAATATAATTTAATTTTATCATAGCACATTAATTTACTTAAATATGAAGACCATCTCCAAATCAATGTGAAAAAGTTCAGCAATTCATTTGTTCAGTAAGAACATGGGAAACCATAGCATGTAAAACTGTTGGACAAAAGGAAATAAGTATCATTCTTAAACATATGAAGAGATGCTCAATTTATCATAATAGGAATGTCAAAGTGTAATGAGGTATCATTTTTCATCTATCTGATTAGCAAAAATCAAAATGGCACACTGTATTATGGGATGTGATGAGGGAGGATGTTCTTCATCTCTTAGAATTTTTTTTACTGGATTATATTTTCCTGTTTCTTTGAATGTCTGGTCATTTTGTATTGAAAGGTAGTCATTGGGGATAATACACTGAAGAAAATTCTGAAGAATATTGATTTTTATTTTACCAGACAATTTAATTGTTGGCTAGTCACCTTGAACTTTGTTTTGTGCTAATTTGTAGGGAAGTATCTGTTGAAAGGCTACTATCTTTCCTTGGCCCTTCTCCCTTTTGGGATTCAATTTCCAAACTGTCTCTCCAGAGAATCTTGTCAAGGCTTGGCTTTAAGCTTTGTTGGGGTGAGTGTAAAGCAAGCCTTATTCTCAGGCAGGGCGCAGTGGCTCACCCCTGTAATCCCAACACTTTGGGAGTCCGAGGCTGGTGGATCATCTGAGGTCAGGAGTTCAAGACCAGCCTGGCCAACATGGCAAAACCCCCATCTCTACTAAAAATACAAAAATTAGCTGGGCATAGTGGTGGACACCTATAATCCCAGCTACTCAGGAGGCTGAGGCCGGAGAATTGCTTGAACCTGGGAGGCAGAGGTTACAGTAAGCTGAGATCACACCATTGCACTCCAGCCTGGGCAACAAGAGCAAAACTCCGTCTGAAAAAAAAAAGAAAAAGTCTTATTCTCAGGCATAATTTTTCCTCCCAAAGAACAGCCTTTTTGGTGTCGTAGGTGGATGTCAAGGTAGCAACAATTAAAAGAGAGGTCTCCACTCTGGCAGGCCTGAAAACTCCATATTCTTGACACTGCTTTTTCTTAACATTTCTTGACGCTGTTCTACACTCAGGCCTATTCCGGTTGGCTGTGAAGTATTAAGTCTTGCATGGTTTTTCCGAGCACATTTACACAGCCCGTTCTTTAGCCACTGTGCATGTTTTGTAGAATTCTACTAGGACTCTCCAGACTAGACCACTTTTACATGAACTTGTTTTTTCAGAATTATCTTAAATTCTGTTAAGCATATATATCTTACGTTATCTGGATATTGGCCATTATTCTTCATTAAAACCTTTAAATAACTAGATCATTTCATAACTATATTTGAAAATACTTTAAATTCTTCTTGTATGCTAAACTAGTTGAATTTTGTTCCTTCATTTATATATTAAATACAGATTCCTGGTAAAACTATAAATGAACAGTATTTTTCATTCACTACTTTCCCATTGATTAAAACTTGCTCCTGTAATTATACAAGAGCTATACCTGTAGTGATGCTATGGAGAGTTTGTCTGGGAGTAGATTTTCCTTCTAGTTCTTCTGAGACCTATAGATTTGAGAGCTGAAGAAACCATGTGGACTATTTGGTCCAACCTTTTCATTGTTACTTAATGAGACAGGTAATGCTCAGGTGGCTTAAATAACTTTCCAAAGATTATATAGCTAGTTAGTTAAGAGAGTAATGCTTACTATCCAAGTGTCAAGGTAAATTTATGCCATTTTCCCTGTCTCTGGCTATAAGTTATCCTGTGTTTTCTCAGCCTTTTTTTTTTCTGTCTTACTCCATTATTCCAGAACAACTAAAACAGCAGATATATAAAAGTTAATGTCAGAGTGGTGGTCAGTAGGAGAAACGTGGAGAAACATTTATGTTCTCCTCTTTTATTCCACCTTTATTTTTGTGCTTGAGAAGTGCTTCAGACTGAATGAAGGTAGGATGATCCATAATGTAGTTGCAACTAGTTTCACTTGCCCAAAAGTGTTTTACGTATGGTAGCTGTAGGAAAAGTCTTTTCATTCTTAAGCCCAGGCATAAGACAAATTATCTTGGTCTCTTTTCTTTTTTGAGAAGACTTTAGGGTCTCCACCTTTGTTCTTTTCTTCTCGTTTTCTACCATTATCCTTGATAACCCTTTCAGGCACTGTTGTGCTGGATCAGCCTTTAGATTTGTACTTTTGTTTTCCCAGCTTTGTCCTTTTCCTTGTGCTTTCAAAAATAAGGCCTGTAGACTCTTTCTCTATTTCAATAGTTTTATGGTTAAAGTGGGGTAAGATAGGCATTAACATCAATAACAAACAAGAAAAGTTCTAAATCTTATGATGACATTTGATCAGTGATTATGATTGTAGTTGATTATTTGCTACAATTGTAATTGAGGACCTATTGGATACTTTCTGCTCATTTATTCATTCAGTAAGTTGTGTCCTAATCAAAACCACAGGGCTCTTAAACTAATATTTATACTTTAATTTTTTGTGGTTCTATAGAAAATAAAAGACTCCACTTTTGATGAATGGAAGAATATTCGAGGACCCAGGCCTTGGGAAGATCCTGACCTCCTCCAAGGGAGAAATCCAGAAAGCCTTAAGACTAAGAGAACTTGACTATGCTGATTCTTTTTTCCTTTTTTTTTTTTTTTTTTAAATAAAAATGTTATAAACTGGACTTCCTAATACATGCCACTATAAAGTGGAAAGGAAATTCCAAGCCCATGGAAATTTGGATATGGGTAATTTGATGACAGATAATCTTGATAAAAGGTCAAGTACAGGTTTTTATACTTCTCAGCTATTCCATCTGCAGATGAAAGTAACAATGTTTCAGCAGTATCACTTACAAAAAGTAAAAAAGAAAAAGAAAAAAAAAAGTAACAATGCTGGCCACATATATTTTACACCTTGAAATAAAAAATGTGAATACTACTCCTAAAGAGAGTCGTGCATTCCACTCTCCAACTACCCACATATTCCTTTTGCAGTAGCCACTAGGGCATCATTTTGGTATTTCATTCTGATTTCTAATGAGGACAGTAGACCTAGATCCCAATTCTCACAGTAGAGTCAAGCAGTAATTTTCTTCTATTAGGGAAGGAAAAATGATCACAATCTGATAAGAGTCTTCAATTTCTTTGTAATACCTCATATCGCATAATAATCAGTTTCCAAAACATCACCTGCTAATTACACTGATACCATTAACATGTCAAGGAAATTATATTATTTCTGGTTGTCAAAAATTATGAAGTAGTATATGATTATAAGCAGATAAGACAAATTTTAGTAAATCCACAGATGACTACAGTTTCAGAAATACTAAGATATGCTTTATACCTTAGCATAATTTGTATGCAAAATGGCCCTTTAGTGTTGTTTTGTGTTTTAACTTGGGGTTTGCAATGATCTGATCCCTGGATAAAAGGATAGAATTGAGGAAAGTTAGGTTTTTTGAACTAATTTTCTCCTTTTTACGTGTCTTTGTTAGCTTCTACCTTCTGGTTTTATGCTGAGTTCTAGTGACCTAAAGTCTCCATTGAAACCCTTTATAATTGCCATAAAATTATAAATCCACTCCACCTTTCTGCTCCTAGTCAAAATTTGTTGTCTTTTCAGCAGGTTGGTTTTAACAAAAAGTAAATTAATTATCTAGTGGTGATAATTTGTGATGGAAATGATTCAGAAGATATTTATCATGGGGAGCAATTGGATTTCATAGGGAAAAAAGAGGCTCCGCTTATTATTTACTCACTAAACAAGTAACAAAAAAGGATCAGTGATTTAAACATAAAACGTAAAAGTGTAAAACTTTTAGGAAAAAACCATAGAAGAAAGGTTTCAACTGAATAGTTCTTGATGAATTGCTCTTACCAAAGAATATCTGTAAAAGAAAAACTTGACAAATTAATCTCATCAGTATTACAAACTTCTGCTTGCCAAAGGCCCTGTTAAAGAATGAAAAATGTAGAGACTGAGAGAAAATACATGTAAACCACGTATCTGGCCAAAAACTCATATCTAGAATAAAGAACTCTGTAAACTCAGTTGAAAAAAATTCAATTAGAAAATGGGCAAGAAACAGACATTTCACTGCAGAAGATTTACTGATGGCAAATAAGCTCTGAAAAGAATGTTTGACATCACTGTGAAAGAAATACAATTTTAGATTACATTGAGATCACTACACATCTGTTAGAATACCTAAAAAAAAAATTAATGATAGTATGAAACGCTGGCAAGGATGTGGAGAAATGAAATCTCTCACACATTGGTGGTATCGCGTAAAATGGTACCACCAGCCCAGAAAATTGGCAATTTTTTTTGTTGTTTATTTCTTTGGCAATTTCTTTAAAAGCTATAAAGGACTTCTGTTTTACACTTTGACATGTAAAAAGCTTGGAAATTTTAATTCCCATCATAACAAAGAAAAAAGCCGAACTAAAAATCAACTCTTTGATCTGTCAGAAAACTGAAGTCACAGGACAAACCACCACCCTGAACACTGGAGACATAGGCAGGTGCAGAAAATCATAGTTTACCTGGAAGAGAACCTGCCCAGAAACTGCCACTGGAGCCAGCATTGGGTAGGACTATCTAAAGGTAATTGAATAATTGCTGGAGGCTGATCATGGACTAAATTCGAAAGAAAATCTCTTAAGAGGAGGCCAAGCCTTGTGTGGATTGGGGAAAAGACACTTGTGAGTTTTACCTTTAAGAGTCCCACTGGGTTTTCACAGTATCATAGAAAAATTTCCTTGTGCTTCTAGCAGGTGTAGGTGAAAGTAACCATTCTAAAATACGCCCAGAGAATTCTGTTTTCTTTAAGCCTGGCCCCAAAGTAAACTCTTGCTAGAACCTAATCACATTGGGTTTTACCAGTGTCTAATCAACTGGAGGAGGAGAAATAACCCCAGACTCCAGCCTTCCTGTTTCACCTAAATGGGAGTCAGGAGAGGTGAAGGAAAACTTCAAAGCACTTGTGAATGTCCAGTCTTGGGACCTAGGCTTACTAAAAACTCTAATGATAGGACTTACAGATTGCTGTCCACCACATATATTATCACCACATCTCTAAAGGTCTATTCACTCAAGTCCTTTTTACCAGTACATCATGTCCAACATTCAACAAAAATGAAAAATGAAAAGCGCAGTTTGAACAGACAAAACAAGCATCAGAATTAGACTCAGATATGGCAGGGATGTTGCAGTGATCACACGGGGGGTTTAAAATATGAATATGATCAGAGCTCTAATGGAAAAAGCATACAACGAGCAAGAACAAATGAGCAATACAAGCAAAAAAGTGGAATAATTAAAAGGAAATTCTGGCATTAAAAAACTAACAAGCAAACCTTTAATGAGGTCATCAACAGTGGGCAGAACTGAAGAAAGGGGGAAAATTACACATAGTATGATAACACTAATCAAAAGAGTTTGAGTAGTTGTATTCATCTCAGACAAATCAGACTTCAGAGCACTGAAAATCTTGGAAGAAGAGGGTCATTACATGATGATAAAGGGGGCCCATCCTCTCCAAGAAGACAAAAATTTTTAAAGTATATACACTGAACAAAGCAAAATGCTGATAGAATTACAAATATATGAGGGATATATGAATAGACTTACAGAGATTTAATCCTCGTAACAACTGATAAAACAAGTAGGCAGAAAATCATTGAGGACGTAGTTGAAATAAAGCGCACCATCAATCAGCTGTATCTAATTGACATCTATCGAGTACTTCCACAACAACAGAAGAGGCATTCTTCTCAAGTTCAAACAACATTCATCAAGACAGACAACCATGTAACACGCCTCAACAAATTTCAAAGGATGAAAATCATACAAAGTAAGCCCTCAGACTACTATGGAATTAAACCAGAAATCAATGACAGAAAGATTGCTAGAAAATTCCATAGTACTCGCAGATAAAGAGCACTTCTAAATAATACAGGTGTAACGAAATTTAAAGAAATTAAAAATATTTTGCCGTAAATGAAATGGAAAATACAACTTAACAAATTTGTTGGATGCAGCAAAAGAGGTGCTTTGAAGGAAGTTTATAGAATTGAATGTATTTAATAGAAAAAAGAATATATATATTAGAGATAGGGTCTTGCTCTGTTGCATAGGCTTGAGTAGAGTGCCACAGTTATAGCTCACTGTAACCTCAAACTTTTTGGCTCAAGCAATCCTGCCTCAGCCTCCTGAGTTGGGACTTTGGGCACATGCCACCATGGGTCTGGCTAATTTTTAAAAACTTTCCTATTGCAATGAACAATCCAAAAATGAAATTAAGAAAATACTCAATCTACAAAAACATCAAAATAAAAAATATTTAGAAGTAAACTTTTAAAATGAAGTACAAAACATACACTCAGAAAATGTAAAACAATGCGGAAAGAAATCGGGCCTACATAAATGTAAAGTCATCCCATGTTTATGGATCACAAGTCATATTAAGATGTCAGTATTCTCCAAATAGATATGAGAGTCAATGCAATCCCTACCAAAATTACAATGTTCACCTTTTCAGAAATGGAAAAGCCAATCCTCAAATTCATATGGAAATTCAAAGGACCCAGTCAGTATATTCAAAACAGTCTTGATAAAGAGCAAATTTGGAGGACTAGCACGTGCTGGTTTCAAAACTAAATACAAAGCTATAGTAAAAAAAAGTTATATAATGCCAGGCAGGCATGGCAGTGCATGTATGTAGTCCCAGATACTCACTCAGCAGGCTGAGGTGGGAGGATCGCTTGGGCCCAGTAATTCCAGGCTAGCCTGGGCAACATAGCAGAACCCTGTCTCAAAACAGAACAAAAATGGGCCGGGCAAGGTGGCTCACGCCTGTAATCCCAGCACTTTGGGAGGCCGAGGCGGGTGGGTCACGAGGTCAAGAGATCGAGACCATCCTGGTCAACATGGTGCAACCCTGTCTCTACTAAAAATACAAAAAATTAGCCGGACATGGTGGCGTGTGCCTGTAACCCCAGCTACTCAGGAGGCTGAGGCAGGAGAATTGCCTGAACCCAGGAGGCGGAGGTTGCGGTGAGCCGAGATCGCGCCATTGCACTCCAGCCTGGGTAACAAGAGCGAAACTCCGTCTCAAAAAACAAAAACAAAAACAAAAAAAGCACAAAAATAATCATACTGTAACTTTGAACTTTTGGCCTCACCAAACAAACAGAACAATGTTTCAAACTGATAAACATCATGATAAACGTAGAATAAGTGGATTATAATTGAGAATCTAAAAATAAGCTCTCATATTTACAGTCAATGGATTTTACACAGAATGACAAAACAATTCAATGGAAGAAAAAATAATATTTTCAACACATGGTACCTGGTTATCCACATGGAAAAGAATGAAGTTAGACCCCCACACCTTACACCATTTATAAAAATTAATTCAAAATGGAATAAATTCCTCAATGTAAGGGCTTAAAGTATAAAACTCGCAGACGACAACATAGATCTAAATCTTCATGGCCTTAGATTTGGTGATGGTTTCATAGATATGACACTGAAAACACAAGTAATGAAAGGAGAAGATTGATAAATTGTACTTCAGGAACATTTAAAATTTCTGTGCTTCAAAATGTACTATTGAGAAAGTGAAACAACCCAGTTAGGAGCAAACATACGTACAATAAGAGGATGATAATTAAGTCTCAACTCATCTGGTGTAGTGGGGATTTAATATCTTTTCCACAGTGTTGTTCAGTGCATTAAATGTAAAAAGCATGGTGCTTAGCACATAGGAATTGCTCAATATATGGTAGCTATAAGTTGGTGTAAAAGTAATTGTGGTTTTTGCCATAATGTATGTTGTCACATATAAAAGATACTCTAGTTTATGACTGAGCACAGTTTATTTAATGTTCTTTGCAAACTATAAGCTATTTTGAATTTTTTCCATATAC